AAATTATCCTTGGACTCACCTTTACCCAATGGGCTACTGTAACAGCTAGATTGTGCTCGGTTATGCTGCTGTGACAGATTATCCCCAGATTTCAGTGGTTTATAAAACAAAGGTTTACTTCTCACTGACATTACATGTCAACTTCTGGTTGCCTGTGGCTCTGGTCTATGGGTGTTCTTCATGCCAGGATCCAGAGTGACTGAAGAAGCAGTGCCTTTCTTGGATAATTTGGGGACAGATGGACAAATAGGTGGAACCACATGACAACTCCTTAAGGCTTCTATTGGAAGTGGCATGTGCATATCTACCCATATGCAATTGGTCAAAGCAGGTTCTATGGTCAGTCAGTGAAGCATAATCTCATGGAGAGGGGCAGCGAATGACAGAAACAATAAAACAATCTGCCACAGCTACACCAAGCCTGAAGACTAAAAGCTGATGTTTGGAAGACAAAGATCGAGAAGAGATCAAACCAAAGTAGGTTCATAAACAAAGCTGTAAGCAAGCAAAACAGGAGATTGATCTGATCAGAAAAAATATGAAAGAATCAGAACTTCTTGCCTTATAAGCAAAGCTTGAAAGCTTCAGAAATCAAAATATACATGAGGAAAATTTTGATGTTGTGAAATTTAATAAAGGGAAGCCTCACTAAAATGGAGTTGGGAGGCCAGAGGGGGAGCACAGAAAGGGGGAGCTTTATTTCTCAAATGTCTATTATAGGAAGAATTGTCAATTACAGACTTGAATAGAAGAATTGTCAACAGGAAAAAATCATCAGTTACAGGCCCCAATAGGGAATGATGTCCATTGTATCTCCTACAAGAAATGAACCATCCCTGCAACTCAGCCAATAAGAAACCATTATCACCTTTAACTCTTGCTTTTCTCCTATGGGCTTTCATTCAGAACAACCCCTTCCAACCTCTCCTTCTTCTCCATAAAATAATATCCCTTTCCTTTATTTGTTGGGCTTGCCTATGGTTTTGCCATTGCAATTCTCTGATATTCCTAAATAAATCTATTTTTGCTGGTAAAATAGGTGACTGCTTTGTTTTTAAGGTTAACAATGTCTTTACTGACAAAACACAAGTCAGACTAACAAACTAAGCCAAAGAAGTGTCTTTCTTCAGACATAATCCCATTGAAGCACACTTTTTTTGAGTAATCTAGGTTGGTCTTGGCAGGTCATGGAGGTACTCCATGGAGACATGGATCCACAATGAGCACTTCCACGAGCTGGCATCATTACTTGCACTTGAAATGCTGTTTGCTCACTCACTGTCTTCTAAATCCTACTCATTCTTTCGCATTTGCCTTAAAAGCCATCTTCTCTAAGAAACTTGGCTCGATCATTCCCCTCTGTATGAACTGCATCTTTCTCAGATGTAATGGTGCTTGCATCTCTATTAAATATATTGCCTTTATTATAGTTAATTATTGACTCCCCCTGCCCCCCCCCATCCCAAGAGAACTATGAATTCCTTACTGGCAGAAAGAGTGTTAATTCATTTGGGGGTCTCCCACAGTGCACAATGCAGAGCAGTGCACATGAAGGAACACAATTCATTGTTGAAATTCAGAAATTTACAATCTAGTTAGAAGCCATTTTGACATACATATGTTAGCTCTGTCCTTGAGGTGCTCCCAGAGCATAAGATGCACGCAAGAATTAAGTAGTAATTGTTCCTGACGACTGTAGGGCTGAAACTCACCAACCCAAGAAGAAAGCTCTGATAAGGTAGGCAAAGGATAGGAAAAGATTGGGACGAGAGGGGTGTGTAAGTCAGGGGTGCTGTGAAGCAATCTTAGTGTCTCTTTGTCCCTGTGACATCTAGATCAGTTTGTCCCTTTTTAGGTATTTCTATTTTCTTGCTATCAAATAGTAATTTGTTATATAGGTCTTAGTTTTAACACATTGTTCGACTGATGTGGTTTGACCTCAGTTATGCAAACACTAAAAGCAAGCAATAGAAAGTTAATTTAAGGAATCAAATATGATATTAGGTTGAAATATTTTTAAAAATTACATATGGGGATATGTGGAGTACTTATGTTCATAATAGAGAGCATGAGTATTTTTAGATTCTCTGATATTAGATTTAGGTGTGCTTGTTCTAGTTTGTAAGTCAAAGAATTGGCCTATATCTTCCATCTGTGTGTTTAGGTTTTATGGTGACAGATACCTTATAATAACTAGAAATAGAAATTCCATCTTTAGCGATAATATAGTGCAGGGACCTGAGAAGAGAAGGTCTTAAGGTGCTGTTAATTAGCAGAAATCTAAAGCACACAGTCTCAAAGCAATTAAGGCTGTTAATTGAATACTTGGATGCACAGTGGAATGGTTCATATGTTGCTGGGTAGGGTATCCTAGGCTTGCAGTGGGGAGCTACATTACACACACGATGTTGAATAATTTAGAAAGAACAAGTATGGGTAAACATATGTTTGTCTAGCGGTTAACTGCATTTATGAATAGTGATATATTGTTGGCTATATACAAAATGGTCTATTAGCTACAAAATTCAATATTGGTAATTCAATCTTTCAGGCTGTCTGCAGTCAATATGGCACACCATTTACTCATGGAACATTGAGTTTTTTCCATGGTGATTTTGTTGTCCTCTGGTTTGGTAAACATCTCTATAATTCATGTGATACTTTAAATGAAACTGGTGGTCACACAACGGTTACCGTTTGGCATCTACGCACGTTTGGGCCAAGGGGTATGGACATTACTGATGAGCTCAGGGTGGCAAAATGATTTTATTATTTTCTACAGGTTGCATTAGCTGCAGCATTTGATTAATGTGTGAATATACTTCTAGAAAGGAACTTTAATGAAAATTTCAAGATTGTGAAAAAGTTTTCAACAATGGAAAGATAAATGAAACATTCCTTTTAGAAGAACTTGAGTGAAAATGGTTAATACTTCGGGTAGTGCTTATTATTTTTAAAAACTATAGGGTAGACTTATACTTCTGTCAGTCTCAGGCTTATTAGAAGAGCAGAGGAGAGAGGCTATCCACTAAAGAACACCCTAAAGGCAGTGAGTGAAGAATGAATTTCATGTCTCTTAGACTGTGGCTCAAGTCCTCATAATGGTAGAATTTTTAGTCTCTATGTTAAGGGGGATTTTTTTATTTTATTTTATTTTTTTACGAGTGCTTGGAATCCTCAAAGCTAAAGCTGACCAATAGTTTTCACCTCTTTAGCTAAATGTTCCAGGAAGTGTCAGAATTGATTGATTTGAGGGCCCCCCCCCCGCCAATCCCAATCCACCTTCTGGAGTAGTTTCTAATAACCTGTTAAGTGGCTTTTTTAAAAAGTGGAGGGCTGAGCAGGCACTGAATGCTAGGAGCACAGAACCTAAAAATCCCCAGGAGGAGCATCTCCATCCTATGAGGAATTAAGCATTCATAAAGATGGGATGATTTTTTTTTTTAAAGATTTATTTATTTGACAGACAGAGACAGCGAGTGAGGGAACACAAGCAGGCAGAGTGGGAGAGGGAGAAGCAGGCTTCCCTGCTGAGCAGGGAACCTGATGTAGGCCTCGATCCCAGGACCCTGGGATCATGACCTGAGCCGAAGGCAGACGCTTAACGAATGAGCCACCCAGGCGCCCAAGATGGGATGATTTAAGAACCGGCTATTCAAACTGCTAACAGACGTTCTGGTGCATGCACAGAGCATATAAAAACAAATTCTGCTTTGTTGAATCACAGACCTGTACCTCTGAAAACAAATAATACATTATATGTTAAGAAAAAAGAAAAAAAAGAAGACAGGAAGGGAAAAATGAAGGGGTCTGGGAATCCGAGGGGGAGACGAACCATGAGAGACTATGGACTCTGAGAAACAAACTGAGGGTTCTAGAAGGGAAGGGGGTGGGCAATGGGTTGGCCTGGTGATGGGTATTAAAGAGGGCACCTTCTGCATGGAGCACCGGATGTTATACGCAAACACTGAATCATGGAACACTACATCAAAAACTAACGATGTAACGTATGGTGATTAACATAACATCAAAAAAAAGTCAAAAGAGAAAACCAACCCCCCCCCCCAAAACACAAATTCTGCTTAAGGTCCAAATCTGAGCTTCTAAAAATATGGAGTTAACCTGGTCAGGGGTTATTAGCTGGGGCTTTTAAAACGCATTGAAACACGAAGGTTAAGGCATTAAGTCATTGGGAAGTCCGTTTAAGAGGTAACCATGCGACCTCTTAGGATCAGGAAAGTTCCTGTTGGTTATGCAATGTGTGCATTTCATTATTTACACGATGTCACTGGGCGTCTGGGAGTCTTGTGCCCAGCAAGCTGTACCTGCAACAGCGCCCAGACTCTGAAACTAAAACCAAACACCCTTTCTTGTTTGTCAGCACTCTTGCTTTTGAGATATAATTTCTTTTAGGGAAAAAAAAAATCCCCAAATTATATCCACTTTTCTGGATTAAAACAATTCTGTCTTACATGTTTTAGGAACTACAAGTTTCTTGGAAAATTTTCCATTCTCCTTTCCACCGTCCTTTAAGGACGAAGGATAAAGTACATAGCCAATAATAAAAATTCAGAGTGGGAAACTTTTTGCAGGGTCTTCCCAGCCCTCTCCTTTCTCTTACCCATGGCAATTAATCCCTCTCCTTCCCGACCCACCCCTCCGCTTTTTTTTTTTTTTTTTTTGGTACTTCCTGTCTGAAAGCCGAAAGTAAATAAGCTAGAAAGCCCCGGGTCTAGGGCCTGCACACACGGGTCCTTGGGCGATTCGCAGGCTTCTGGAAGGTAAGCGTGGGAGAGCCGGGAGTGGGGAGCCAACCCCGCAGGTAGGGCGGCCGGGCTTCCGCAATTTCCCCGGTGGAGCCGGTAGCCCCAGGCCCTTAACTGTCGTCCAGCCCCCGGCGCCGGGGCCACCGAGCGAAGGGGGCGGATCCTCCCGTGCCAGACACGCCCCGGTCGTGTTTATAATCCGCCCGCTGCGGCTCCTGGAGCTGCGGTTCCCCTCGCGCTCCGCCGGGACTCCGGACGCGCGCTCCCTGCCCCGGCCGCCCAAAACTCCGGCTCAGCCCGCGCCCGCCTCGCGCCCGCTCGCGCGCTCACACCCACACGCGCGCGCTCACACTCACACACTCGTGCCCTCGCACCCCCACGCGCTCCCGCTCGGCCTCACACTCCCAGGCGCTCACACTCCCACTCCTGTCCGCTTCCCTGCGGCCGCGCAGGCACCGCGGGCGAGGGCGCCGAGGGGATCCACGGCCTTTCCCATGGCTGACCTGAGCTTCATCGAAGATTCCGTCGCCTTCCCGGAGAAGGAAGAGGATGAAGAGGAAGAGGAGGAGGGGGTGGAGTGGGGCTACGAAGAAGGTAACCGGCCGCGAGTCGGGCGGGGTGTCCGGGGTCCGGGGCCCCGCGTGTGCGTCCCGCCGAGCGCCGAGTCCCTGCAGCTCTCGCGCGCCCCCAGCACCGCCGCGTCCCCTCTTTCCCACGTGCGTCTCTGTCGCTTTCCCGCTCCCCCGGCCCGATTTGGGGCCGAAGTGGCCTCAGGCAGAGCGGGCGTGCCCGCCGCCTGGCGTTCGCGTCGCGGAGCCGGGCCGTGCTGCCGCGCAGCAGTTGGCACCTGCGGCCATGCGGAGGGCCAGCCTTACGCTGCGCCTGGAACCCTTGTGTGTGCTGAGTGCCCGCGGAGAGCTGCGTTACGTCTCACCCAGCACCTTAGGTACACAGTGGTACCGAAACTATTCGTTTCTTGCTTGCTGTGCGGACCCTGCTGGGAGAAAGCATTCTTGCCACTACTCTTTGCATGAAGGGTACTAACAGTGCTCAACTCCAAAGAAGTCCCAATTTCAAGCTGAATCAGTGGGCTTGGTCGGAAGGGCGTTGACTTTTTAAAAAGTTTTGTTTGCTCCATTTATCCCGGAAGATGTAGGACTCCTAATAGACCACTGGTGCTCCTAAATGACCACTGGTTCTGATGTCGAAACAAATGGGGGGAATTTATAATTTTACAAAATATGCTAAGAGAATATATGTATATATTGTATGATTATATCGGTGTGCGTATATATGCATAAGACCACTTCAGAATTGCTGTATTTGCATTTTTAAAATATTTTATTTTTTATTCATGAGAGTCAGAGAGAGAGAGGCAGAGGGAGAAGCAGGTTCCCCGCCTAGCAGGGAGCCCGATGTGGGACTCGATCCCAGGACCCCGGGATCATGACCTGAGCCGAAGGCAGACGCTTAACCACCTGAGCCACCCAGGCGCCCACGTATTTGCCTTTCTGATAAGAGGTGTTTATTCATGAGCATCAGATTAATGGTTTTTGGCTCTCATCAAGCAAGTTCAGACTTTCGGGTATTTCTCAAGTAGCGAGGAAATTTTTGTGGAACTATTGATTCTTTTTCAGTCACTTAAAGACCTAAATTTTCTAGAATCACGTATTATTACATCTGTGCGGACAAAGACAAATAGAATATTTTGTTAGTACAATACTTTGTGTGTGGTATTTGATAGCATTAGATCATTGAAAATATGAATGCAGAAATTCATACACATTTACCATATTTCATCTGTAAAGAAACAATAGTCATAACCTTAATAATGCCAAGGATCATAAACAGTGTCTAAACTAGCTTTTACATGTTAAATTTTGTTGGAACTTTCTTTTAACCTGTTCTAAATTTGCTTTTTTTTTTGTGCTTAGGTGTTGAGTGGGGCTTGGTGTTTCCTGATGCTAATGGGGAATACCAGTCTCCCATTAACTTAAACTCAAGAGAAGCTAGATATGACCCCTCACTGCTGGATGTCCGCCTCTCCCCAAATTATGTGGTCTGCCGAGACTGCGAAGTCACCAATGACGGACATACCATTCAGGTTATCCTGAAGTCAAAATCAGGTATATTAGAAGATGCTTTTGCATGCCTTTGTAAATTAGAAGTTCTTATGGAGCTATTGAACTGATTTGGCTTATATGACTTTAAAAGTGGAATTAACATAGTACCGTTATCAGGATAGCTTAGTATACTATAAAATGCATTTCTAAAATGTTTTGGAAAAGATGAAAGGATGAAATTATGGAGATGGTAGTTTGGTTGTATTATATGATTGCTGGAACAACCTCAGTTGATCAACTTAAACTTTGTGGGATTTAAGGAAAAGTATATTCAGGTGTACTAATCTGCATTTTGTCCTAAATCGTTCATTAGCTTAATTCATTTAGAAAATTAAAATTCTGTTTTGCTGCTTTGTAAAACTAAAGATTAGGATTTATTGACATAATCTGGCATTCGAGATAGACTTCTCAAATTAATTTTCTCTATATTAACGTGGCAGGGATTTTAATAGTAATCAAAAACATCCTTTAACCTTAGTAAAAGATTTAAATGGCCAACAAAACTCTTGTTTGTATTTAGTTTTAGCTCTTCCTCTCCCCTTTGAACCTGTTTGAGATGGATTTGAAATGTTTTGTGGAAAAGGTGTTGGAAATTATCAAGGAAATTGGCTTAAAAGCAGGGGAGAAGAAAGAAGAATTTTTTAAAAATTAGCATTATATTATGCTTTTCTTAGTGAATAGTTGGATTTCTCTCTTGGAAGGAATATAAAGTTAGAGTATGTTGAAATATTGGGAAGTACTAATGAACAGAGATCACCTGTACTCAAAATTAATTCTGAATCAATAATTTGATATTTCAAACCATAAACTCTTTAGGTTTATTATTTGACAGGGCAGGCATTGATTTTCAACTATGGAATTTTTGTTTTAAAACTCATTGTGAATGTTCCTGAACTTTACTTTAGAATCTACGAGCTAGTTAGTCATAGATTCATGTAGTCTTTCCTGATGTTCTGAGTTGAGTTAAGGTATGGGCATCACCCCAGACAGATCCTAGGTGTTATTATATGTAGTCAAAGAGAGACAGCTTCAGATGTAAATTTGAACTTAAGATTTTTTTTTGGGGGGGGGCTATCCATGAGGGACATTAGGTATTATTTTTAAACTATATAGTAAAATTATGAAATGCTGACTGTCCTGGTTTATAAAAAGCATATTAATATAATAAATGTGTATTGGTGTGTTGACATGCCTTTGTATTTCTGGAAATAAACATTTATATATCTACAGAGCAAAAATGCATTTCACATCAGGCACCGTGGTGAATGTGTATGCGTAGAAGACAGAGGCATAAGACTGTTCTCGAGGATTCATAGTTTAGTGAAAAGAGAGTCCTTTAAAGTATTAGTATAAAGATGTTATGGAAGAGTTATGAAATATGGAAGCATGGAGGAATGACTGAGTACAAATACTCTCTGCTCTAAGATCCAGTTTACTTGATCAAGTTGAATTTACCATTTCCTTCTGGTACCTTCTCGAACATTCACGATTTTCCTTGGCCCCTTCACTCATCCCCAAAACAGAGACTATCAAGCAGTGTCTCGACTCTCTAACCACAAGGTTTTCCCTTCTGTCCAGTCCCCTCCACCCTCCACCCCTGACCAGCAGGGGAGAGCTCTCTGTGCCAGCCTAATTTGGATACACATGTTCCAGACCCCTTACTCCTGCCTCCTTGGAGAGCTTGCACCTTTAGATGCCCTGTCTCCTTTCTGCTGCTGGAATAATGTCATCTTCGTTGTTTCTGCCTTTTCCATATTTCTCAAACTTAAAAAAGAAGGGACAAAAAAATACCATGTGTGGACCATTTATTTTCCTAGGATATTTAAGCTTTTCAAAGGAGTAATCTGCAAGCCCCGAGCACCCCGTCCTTCATTTATTTAATTCAAGGGTTATCTTTATCAAAATAGGATATACACATAATTTAAATAGTTGACTTGTGCTATATGTTGTTTCTCTCTGCGCCTGGTGAGACCCTACCCCCCAGCCCCCAGCTAAAACTTTTTGCCCTGGTGACAACCACGTTCAGTTCTTAGCTACTTCTCCTGTCTCCATCCCTTATGGATAGGTTCATACCGTCCTGCTTTGACGTTTAAGAAATCTGTGAACTTCCTGCTATGGGAATGAGGCTGGTTCTCTTACTACCCTCCGCCATCATGGTTTGCCCCTCTGTTGTCCCTGTATACTTAAGTTACGGTTTTTCTTTAAATTAATACTCAGTATTTTTATCACTGTGGCCATGTAGCTGTTGTTTCCAGCTGAGACTATATTCTCTTTCCTTTATTGAACAATGTGGAGTTTTTCTCCCCTGGAGTTAATGCATTCTTGTTTATTTATTTTCTTATTTTATCTATTATGATTTTGTTTCCAGACTCTTGACAGATGGCAGAGCTACCTTGAGAAGTCCCTCCCTTCCTTCCTTTGGTCTTTCCCACCTCCCCTTGGAGGCTTCTCCCTTCTTCTGCCCCTCTGGATCGCTTGATCTCTAGGCCTGCCCTCTAGCCATCACCTGCAGCTCCCTGGACCTTATGCCTAGGAGGTCCCTTTGCTTATCTCTTGTGTCCAATCCCATGTTTCCTGGATGCTGGGCAGCCACTTTTGTAGTTGATCCCTCATTTCAAGGAGTTTCTTTGGTTTATTCCCTCCTATAGTCCATCTTCCAGTAATTTCCTAAGAAGAAGGGCATGTGAGGGCTAATGTTTGGATTCCTTGTGTGTCTCTGTGCTGGGTGCTTTGTGGGCCTTTTGATCAGGATGATTGTGTCTTCCATTTCTTAGAAATTTTCTTACATTATGTAATTGATAAGTTTTCTGTTTTTCCTTTATTCTTTCATAACTCCTCTGTTTTTGTCTTTTTGTTCTACTTCCTGGTAGATTTCCTCAACTTATGTCTTTTAGTCTTTTTTTTTTTTTTTTTTTAAGATTTTTATTTATTTGGCAGAGACACAGCGAGAGAGGGAACACAAGCAGGGGGAGTGGGGGAGGGAGAAGCAGGCTTCCTGTGGAGCAGGGAGCCCGATGCGGGGCTTGATCCCAGGACCATGGGATCATGACCTGAGCTGAAGGCAGACACTTAACGACTGAGCCACCCAGGCGCCCCTCTTTTGGTCTTTCTATTATATTTCCTGCTCTTACATTTTTTACTTCTAAAAAAACTGTGCTGCTTCTGTGATTTTTCTTGGTTGTTCAAGTACAACTTCTGCTATTTATTTTATAAATGCAGACTCTTTTTCCATTGTTTTCTGTATTGCTTTTTTCCCCTGTTCTTTCTATGTCTCTATTTATTCTGGGTCCTTCTATTTGTTTGGTCTCTCTCTTTAAGATGGGAGTTCTTCTCAAGTGTTTAGTTATCTTTGGCTCTTTGTTCATATTTAAGAATGAGTCTAAAAATTGGATTAGAAGCTCTGTGCACCTGGGCAGCGGTTGTGATCTGGTGGACATCACAGTCATGTGATCATGTAAGGATCTGGCCATGTTGTAGATGGAACTTCTGTAGACTATGTTACCCATTTTTCTGGAGAAAGGGATGTGGTGGCTCACACCTGACTGTCAGCATTCTGGTTGTTGACCCACAGGCAAAAGAGTTGAACCAGAGTGGCACATTTGTTACAGTTGCTGAACCTGTGTTGACACATCATTATCACCTAAAACCTAGAGTTTACATCAGGGTTCACTCCTGGTGTTGCACATTCTGTGGGCTTCCACAAATGTACAGTGGCATGTCTCCACCATCATACTGTCCTACAGAATAGTTTCATTATCTTAAAACTCCTCTGTGCTCTATCTACTCTTTCCTTCCTCTTTCCAGCTCCTGGCAATCACTGATCTTTTTACCATTACCATAGTTCTGCATTTTTCAGAATGTCGGATAGTTGGAAGCATACATTGACTTCTTCCACTTAGCAGTTTGCATTGGCTTCTGTTACTGGTTTCCTCTGGCTTGCAAAGATGTAATCTTTGTTTTACCTGCCTGCTTTGGATCAGGTAAATAGAAATCAAGCCCCCAACCTGCCCTCAAGAAGATTACAGTGGTGGATTATGAAAGATAGGTGTACAGGAAGAGATGATTTTGGGCTGCCATTATTAGGGGAGGATGGGCAGAGGAAGTAGCATTTGCAGTGATCACTGAAGAGTGAACAGCATTTGGATGGGGAAGATTGGGCTACATGGGAAGAGAGGGCAACAAGCAGAAAAGACAGCGATTTGAAGGTCTAGACATTGGATGAGGAAGAATGAATCCTGAAGTGTATCTGGAGGAAAATACTGATTCATGGTAAATGAGGTTAATATATACATCGAGAGGCTGTGTTGGAGCAAACTCATGAGGGATCTTGAATCAAGTCTAAAGAGTATAACCTTTTTTTTTTTTTCCCCTGTAAAATACGTTGCTTTAGGAAAATTCACCGGGCCATACTGAGTAAGACGGGATCTGGGAGAGAGGGGGAGCTGCTGTGTTGGCAGTGCCGGTGGAAAATCAGGGATGACACCGGGAGATTTCTGAGATGCCGTCCACAGGAAGTCGGTGTTTGGCCATGTGGAACAGGGGTGAGGAGGGACCCGTTGGAAGGATGCGCTGGGGAGGAGCCCCTGGCACTGGACCGCGCTTTGGGTCCTGTCACTGTGCTTCGCCCTCTGCTCTCAGCATCTTTCAAGGTGACAAGAGTGCCTCCTAACATGGAGTGGAGCCGAGCTTCACATTCTGGGTCCTGTGATCTCCTGGAGTACGGAGAGCGTTATTCAGGCTGCCGCATCTGTCATTTAATCTCTGTCGGACCTGTGAATCAGTGTAGCACAGGAATTGCCATGTTTTGTGTACACAACTGAAAATCAGACATGTTACAGCGGCAGAAAGAGTAGCTTAAGTATAAACATATAACTGTAGATTTCTAGCCTGAGTGGTTGGATACTTACTTAAGTCGTGAGAAAGTGTGAGACTGGCCAAGCTTCTGCAATAGAATGTCATTCCATCTGACGACAAGCTGTGTGTTAAGGGTAATGACGTTTTTA